TTGCCCTGATCCTTCAGTGGGTCTCTCTGTGTTGTTCAGTTTTTAAGATAATTATAATGTATTGTTTGTTACCTACAAAATTACACAGATATTGATCAATACATTTTTCTTTTGATATTTTTGTAATATTAACTTTCTTTAAAAAAAACCTGAAAAGCTATTCAATACAACATTTTTAAAGTACAGGTTGACTACAATCATTGTGACATGAGATGCTTTGGCTCAAAAGGATTGACTCAGCTAGGTAGAAAACCCAGACCATTTATCTAATCTAAAATTCCCACTAGAATATGAAGATCAAGTTTCATACCAGGGAATTAATTTTATTCAAAAAAGGAGGCAAAACCACCAGCAAAGCTATTGATGCAATATGTTTTCTTGGGTGTTTCTGTGACCCCCAACTGTTTATGATTTATCTGGCTGAAGTTATTCAAGCAATCTCATTCTTCTTCTGACAGCAGGTATAAACAGCAAGATGGCAAATTTATATATATATACTTCTCTATGCCTGATAGCATTCTGGCCTTCATTTATTCTCAATTGTACAAACACTGTCCTCCACTGAGGAGCTGGATGAAGGGTACTTCAATGATTTATTAGCTTTAAGAAGACACACTACTTCTTGATATGAAAGACAAGATTGATTATTCACCCATAAGCTGTCCAATCTACCCTAGTCATTCCATTTCTCCTGCTTTAACACAACAGGGACATGATCCCCAACATAAGAAATGCAAAGCATGTGGGAGGTGATGACGAGAAAGACAAAGTGTGAAAACTGCATTTAACCTGATAGAAAGTTAAGTGAAACACAATCAGACAAAACTAGTATTAGACAATATTACCCATAATATTTTTCCATGTATTTTTTCTAACCTATTGGCAAAGACAAGAAGTCTTATTCCATGTCTTGGTGTGCAACTGTTTATGGCTTTTTTCAAATGAGTATCAACTAGTATATCAGTTTTAAATTCAGGTTTCCCTTCATTAATTTTAACCATACCTAGAACAATGTGTTTCCCACCAAACTGTCTACATGTTGTATTCTAATCATACAATTCTTTATTCTAATAAAGCAATCACAATGCACTTTGGGCAATAGAATATCTAACAAGAGGATATCATTAGAAAGCAGTAAAGCTAAGAACATATTTTAAAACCAGAGACAGCAGGCTTAAATTAGTTAGGCTCAGAATGAGACCAGTGCTTTAAATATTTGTTCCCATGACTCACACTTGGAAAAATAAAAAACACAACTCCCCCAGCTTTTATAGTTGACCTTTAGTAGAGTGATACACTCAGTTCAGACATTTGGTGCTTTCACCAAAGCAAAATCAAGACCTTGTTTTCCATATGGAGACACATTTTATCTCTAAAGCATACCCAGCAAATATTTGATATATTTACTATATTTCTTTAGTTAGCCATGGAAAGAGAGAAAGAAAGAGAGAGAGAGAGAGAGGCAACTTGCCATGGGTAAGTATTCACTAAATTCACTGGAGTTCACATTTGACATGAGTTTGTTTGTTCTTTATTCTTGAAAAGGCCAAGACAAAAATTGAATACAATTTTATTTACGCTTTCTTCCAATTATATTTAACATTTTTTCTCCCCTATCATATTATTGTTTACAATTTGTTAGCATATTTTGAGAAGAACTACATTTCTTTCCAAGAACACCTTATCTCCATTAAATAATAACATATGGCTGAAATAATCTCTGGGTATTAATGGTTATCCGCCTGCCCTCCTGAAAGGCCTTTTCTTTCTGTTTCCTTGCAGAATGCTTTATGGCTCTGGGGGTTATGTAGAAACAAACCTCCTAATTTTGCTGTGGTTTGGCAAATACTGTCACTAGCAGGTGAAACTAACAATAAATCTTTACTATAAGGGGCTTTTTAAACTTGCAAGGAAAGGTGTGTGCATAAGTTTGTATGTAGTATTTTATTTGTTTCATAGAATTCTCAGGATTTTAAGTGGTAGCATTTTTTGTAACTTTGTGCATGACCAAGAGGAGGGTAGGAGTAATGATTAGTATTTGACTCAGAGTGTACAGGGAAATATCAGAGTATAGGCTAGATTAGAAAATTTAAAGAAAAGTCTAGAAGGAGGTAATGGCAAAGAGTAGATTGAAGCCAATTGCTAGAATTAGGAAATTAATTAAAGAACATAACAAATTAATAGCTGTATATATTTCTGAAAGATACATGGTGCCTCTACAAAATAATCTGGAGTTGGTTCAGTCTTTTGTGTAATACAGGCATCCATAGCGGCAAAATTATTATATTCTCAAGAATTTGTTCAAAAAATGGTTCTTGTGGATTACAGAATTTCATAAGAATGAAAATTTTAACGATTTTTAAAAGTGATTTTCAAATCAGTTGTGTAGGCTTACAGTAATGGAATGAAGAGGATTTTTCCTTCCCTGCAGGACTGTTCATTTATAAGATAAGTAAATGGGAAGCTATATTGTCTTTGAGACTTGAAGGCATTGCTGAGTGATGGGTCAGGGTGGGAAACAAGTATTAAGCACACAAAGAAGGACATGCTCAATTAGATATGAGGAAAAATTGAGGAAAAGAAGGACACATTGATTGTTCAATTTTCTTGCCATCTACAACAAAAACTAGAGCAAAATCTGCAAAGATATGTATTTAGTATTATATGTATATGAAATTACTTTTTCCCAGCATCAGAAAGATTGATTTTTCAATCACAATATTTTTCCAACAAATCTTTAATTTCAAGGACATATACTAGTGTAATGTAGTCAAAGATACATACTTTCAAAAATTTCACCACAGAAAGTTAGGATGTGTTCCACAGAGTGCAATGATCAAATATTTGAAACGAGTGGATTGAAGCCAATTGTTGGAATCAGGAAATCAATTAAATAACATAAATCTAGGTTATTGAGTCTACTGACCAATGAGAGAAAGACAATTTACAATGCCACAATACACAAACGTTTGATAGACTAGTGTTGTGAAGTGTCCCAGAAAGCACAAAAACACTCTAAAAGTCAAACATTATGTGATGTTTAGGTTTAGGTTAATCCCAGACAGAGGAGATACAGATAAAAAGTAAGATATCTCCTCCTCTTGCTGGATTTTTGGTAACCCCAGCCAGGGTTACCCTCCTGGTAACCCTAGCCATATATGATTACACACACACACACACACACACACACACACACACACACACACACACACGCAAGCAATAGGAAGATACACAGTCTTCTTCCTTCCCTCTGAATGTGAAACTGATTGGCAGAAAGAGAAAATAAAGCCTCTTGATCTACCATTTTTCTAAATATTGTAGAAATAAAATATTTCTATAGAATAGGCCTAGGAAATTCTGTGCATTCACAGTGGATCCCTAGAAAGTATGTAAAGACCACTTCTGGATCTCCTCATTTTGTGAAATTAATAGTAATGTAAGATATGGGAAAAATACATAAAAATAAAAACCACAAACTATCCAAAAAACCATATAACTTATTATGGTATCTAGAATATTTTGTCCTTATCTATTGAATCAATTTCCTCATTAGAGAGTTTTCTCTAATTTGACATCAGCAAGATTTTCTCTTCCAAAGAGAATGAAAAAAATTCCATGGCAGAGTTTTCCCAGATATCTACTAATATTCTGGCTGTTTAAACACTGGTGCAAATCTCTTCGCTTACTAGTGGTTTTTATTTTTTTTTAAACTCATTTTCTAAGGAAGTTAAAGAGGTTTAATCTCACTGAAATTCCTCTGGGACTTAAATAAGTGCCTATCATCATTTCTGAAATTATGAGTTGGCTACCTTTGCATATTTAAGCCATGTGTAAAACATGATTGAAATTGCCTTCTGTAAAAATGTGCACATGGAAGCATGCCAAGACAACTACAATTACTGGTAGTAGAGAGACTACAAAAATAATGGGAAAGGATTATGAGAAAATACTATGCTGAATTACCCAGATAGCATCATAATACCCAGTTTCAAACAGTTGAACAAAACTTCTAGTCCCTTGCCAGAATTTAGATCTACCCAGCCCAGCTTATCCCTTGCTTTAGGAGAGCCAAGTATTCTATGATTTGACATGGATAAAGTTTGGCCTAATCCCTGGAGGTTCCAACAGTCCCTACACTTGTCACAAAAATAAAGGTCTTCAATAGGTGGATTGTAAACTGTAAATAAACTGCCAACACTGGCCTTGCCCAGTTTCTAAAAGCCCAGCTCATTGGACCCACTGGGGCTCATAAAATAACAAAACAAATAGCAAGCTCACTAGCAGGAGTCTGGGAAACTCGCCAATCTCATTATGGGGAAAGCAGCATAAAGCTCTGGCTTTTTTAGAGCAGACAGAATCCCCTTTTTCCAGAAGTCAGTTATAGCGGTGACTGGCACATTGCTGGAGAAAAGGTGGGGAGGGGTTTCATAGCCAGAGAGAATACAGCATTGAATATCACCCCATAACTCTCTCATATGCATGCAATCACACACCTCCTTGCAACTGGTGGCAGAACTAACGTTTTTCTACATGTCCCAAAGAATCAGGCTTGAATCACAATGACCAAATGCTAGTTTCATAAACAAGCATTGAGTTTTCAGTACCCTTTGTTTGTTCTTTCATCTTAAGCAGTGCTTTTCTACTGGAAAACTGTGCTCTCCAAAGCCAGGAAGTTAAATATTGTCAGTTTGATTTTATTCCAAATGAACCATCCTAGATTATTTTTACAGGGAAAACCCTAACCCTAACCCTTTCTATAAAATATTGGAGGGGGGCAAAAAAAGGAATTATCCACAAAAGTGATCAATTATATTTACCAGAGGTTCAGGATTCTAAGCTGCTTTTGTTAAAGGAGGAAAAATAAAACAAAGAGAAAATGTGGGATGTTAAGAAATGGAGGAGGACCTTTATTTTTAATGGAAACACCAACAAGTGCTAGGTCTACTTTCTTTGAGAATGAAACAATGGTAAGTTGGATAAAGGCATTGTTGGTAAATTTATTAACGTGTAGGTTTCAGAATTAAACTTTCATCTTCATTCCTCCTTTCCACATGTGCAATCAGCCAAGTCACAGCAAATCCCAAGTGTACCTAAAGAGATGTTGGTATCAATAATGAATTGTTATCAGTATTGATTTTCTTCTAATATTGAGGCTATTGTTACCAGGATATTTATATATTGCTTTACTACAACTAAAGCAGAATATCATATGTTCTGTTTAGCTTTGAGATGGAATGTTTTGTGGTTAAATTTAGGCAAATTAGATACACCATCTATCAGGAAATGATATAGGCTACACTAGGGAAGCTCTGCTGTTCCTTCAACCACAGTTAGATGTTTTGCAACATAGAAGCTAATAAAAATAAATAAATAGATTAGTAATGAGGATTTCACAGAAACTGACTAATCGATTAAGAGGAAGTAGCATATTGCCATAGGAATGCAGTGTTCTCAGTTATAAGTCCTCCGAAGACACAGAGATACATTTAGAAAATGATATAGTCAGAATCAGCATTCCAAATCCTTTCCAACAAGAAAATCCCCATAGGGCAAAAAGAGAGAAAAAAATCCACTCAGCAGAAGACCACAACTAATGGATTATTCTGGCAATCAAGATTGCCAGTTCTGAACTCTTATTGGCTCAGACTAGTCATCAAGTAATGATTCTTTAAACTTTGTTTATATTTTACACATCACATTTTACACCATAACTTTTTAAGTCCTTAAAACTCTAAAGTACTGCAATTTTTTACAAACAGAAATCATTGGCTCAACTCAATACCTTCATTTTTAGATAAATTCACCCTTACTTCAATGGCCCATTTGTACTTTATCTGGCAATTTCCCTCAAAACTCAAAGTTTCTTTCCACAATTAAAATGTAGTGATAAGAAAACCAGCAATTTCAGAGTCACTGGGCCAAGTCCCACTGCCCTGGTTCCTGATAATAAGTTGTTTAGTTCCTGCTTAAAAAAAACAACATGATTTTAAACAGGATTGCTGCAAAAAGCATCCCATTCCACTCCTAATAATTCTGGTTAACAGCTGCGCAATTTCTTTTTAGATTTTTTAGAATTTTAAAATTTGTCCTAATTTCCAACAAATATTTCATGACTGTTTGAATATAACGAGCATTAACATTGATACACATTTCATTTTTTATATATTATTCTAGAACAGTGTTTCTCAATCTCAACAATTTTAAGATGGGTGGACTTCAACTGGCAAGGGGAATTTTGGAAGTTAACATTTTTTGACCCATATGTGATGACCCTATGTGACTCTGTAATGACAACACCGTAGCCAATTCCTATAAATAGACTTGCCATCAAAAATGCATCTTTTAAAAAGTTTCCACTATAAAAATGTCATCAGGGATTGAACCATCCCAAATGGGCAGTCCTTTAGTAATCCTACATAATTAATAGAACACAATTTCCCTTGGAACATTACATTACCAAAATCCACATACAAGCTACTCTCTTTAAGTGCATTTTAAAATAAAGACTTTCCAGCTAAAACTGCAGTAGCCTAAGCCCACCCACATATACACTGATGCTGTTTCAAACAGAGTACAGAGACAAAGAGACAAAGAACTGTACAGTACTACTAACATTTGTGGTTAATATTAAGGATTTTACTGGTAATCCAACAATTATGGAGTCACAAACCATCTGTAGCCTTGAAATTAAGCCGAAGGTCAATAGCTCAGTTGCCTGCATATTCAGCGCAACTATTTTCAGGAAATGGGTCTATAAAATATAGACTAATTGAACACATTAACAAAAATTCTGTGCAAATATATATTCACAATTGTGTGGGATTATGTTCTAAAGAACACATGAGTCTTCCCTGTGAATAACTGCAAAGGGTTGTACTGCCCTATATTTTTTAAAGCACACACAAAGTTTAATTATGCAATGTGGGATTCATCTCATGCACCAACTCATAAACATTTAGTCTTTTAGACTAGATTTTAAACTTTTAGCATCACTTGACTTTATTTGGAAGATGGTGAAAAATGAGCAGACCTGTTTTCCTAGATTAAAACATGCTTGTATCATCATGTGAATTACAATTATAACTGGAAAGCAAACCTGTTGGTAGAATTAATACCACATAGCCGTAATGAGGTTTTCTCAGTTATGCTCCAACACGTCATATAAATGTAAATTTGTGGTTTGGAAATCAGGGCTTTTGCTTTAATGTAATGTTTGAGCTCAGCCAATTATTGCTTATTTAAGAAATCATGGTGAAACAAATCACAGCCAAACAAATGATGACTTAGGATGCCCTGTGAATTCAGCCATAGCATGTCTAATTCCTTAGCTAAGATTCGTTATGTTAGTTAATGTAACAAATTACATTACATTCATTAGTTAATTCATTACATTTGATCATACTTCCTTCTGTAACTTCTTTCACCTCATATGTTCTGCAATTCCTGCACTACTATATTTGGGCTGCAAAAGTCCATATGACCTCTAGATTGAACCAAAGAGTTTAGAGTTTTCTGTGTTCCTTTGCTGCTGATTTTCTGGAAACCTTATTGAACATCCCAGAGCAGACTTTTAGACACATGGAGCCTGCATTGGGAGGCAAACAAAGCTGAAAATCACTCTGCTATTTCTTCCTCTACTCATAAGAGAATATTATTATGACTGATGATGGCATATCAGGATTCATTCTCAATAGCCAAATGGGAAATATCACTCTGCAATGAGGTTGTGTCCATAACTGATTGAAATTACTAATTTCTAAACTAAAGCTGTTGGAATGGAAAGTTTAAATTTATGTGAACATCTAATTTACCACAGAGCTTTACTGCTTTACCATGAATTTGTGTGAAGAAAAAGCCACAGTGAATTACCTCTTCACTTCCTAAGTTTCACAAAAAAGAAGCCTTTGTTTAAAAGCAAAGGAATGAAAAATGCCCCTTGGGCAAGTAGCCTGCTTTTACAACAAAAGCCATAAGGAATTTTATCTAATGGGTCAGTTAGTCATAGGATAAAGACTATAGAAAGTGCAAAATGGTGAACAGCACAATTAGAGCGTAAAATAGCAATGCCTGAATTAGACTGCATTTTAAAAAGGCTACCATTACCCATATTAACTGATATATTCTTCTTAAATATTATAAGGAGGTTGCTCTCAACATCAGGATTTCCACTGCTAAAAAGAAAAAGTGAAATCAGGAATGCATGTTTCCAGAGACATCTACAGATGATAGAATAAATTAATTAATTTAAGAAATTAAATTAATCCATACTGTACAAAAATATGTGACCAAGCATAAAGAAACAAGCCTTAAAGATATCATATCTTCTAGATAATAAAATAAAAATATTCAAATATGATTTTAATACTGAAAATCTGAAAAATCAAATGTGATTTCAATACTGAAAATCTTCATGTTTCTCCAGTTTCACAGAATCTTTAGCGTGAAATCCCCCTTTCAACCCAGAAGTGCTTAGGCATGACATGAGTGTAGTAGTAGTAATGGTGATGTTGTAACAGCACATTTTTCAAACAAATAAACAATATCAAACAAAATTCTCAGTTCTCTTTTTCCTAGAGCAGTCTTTTTCAACTGGAATTTGTTAGTCGTATAAAAGATTGTGACTGAAAAAAAATAATTTATATGCCATCAATACCCATAGAGAAATGAAATGTCTAAAGTAAATAGTTATCTTACCTTCTTTAACTTGCCACTCTTGGTACCCACAAATACCACACTGTAGCCATTGTAGACATATGATGTAACAGAAGTCATCCGATCACGACTAGATGTATACAGGGTCACTCCCTCTACTGGTATGGAGCCTCCCAGTGGCTGATTAATGTCCAATCCACAAAAGTTGTCATCTATTGGAACTGGCTGAAAATTTTCACAAAATCTGAATTAGGAATGAATGTTGGCGTTCTGAAAATTGCATTAAAAAAATAGGCCTGTGCAAGTCATTTGGTGAAATAGCTCTTTGGCCTTTCTGTAATGTTGTAAAGAAAGTATTTCTCAGTTCACCATAAGCACTTTCTGAATCTCATTAGTTTGTGTATTTATTTAATTTAAATATATTATATTTAAATTATAATTAAGTGCAGTGCTGGTAAATAAATATAATTATACAGTACAAACCAGTACAAGCAATAAAGCAATATAATTAATATATTTCCTATTTCTTCTCAATCATTCTTATAAAAATATAAGTTGATGGTTAGTAACATGTTAAAAGTAGGCCAGATCCCTGAACTCTGAAGAAAACAAACTATTTTCTTCTTGTGAGCATTTTGTCTTTTCCTAGAAACAATTATATCCCATATATGTCTGTTTTAATGGGAAGCAATAACATACCATTCCTTCCGACACCTTCTCTAGGAAGGACATGGTAATCTGAGGGATAGCAGCCAGGATGGTCTGTTTAATTTTACTCCAGCAAAATGTTGTAAACAAACTTTATCTTACTACAATTGAAGTATATAGGAATATATTATACTTCCTGCCAATAATAGGAAATGCAGTTTAGTACTTTGTAGGGCAATAAATTGGAGAAGGTATTCTAAACAACCAGTAGAAAAACTCTCCTTCTCTAATCAGAATCTGTCAGGGTAGGTATCCTATTCTCCATCAACGAAGTATTTGAGGGGTACAAAAGCAGAATATAAGCAAAGGAGCTTTGTGTTAATGGTATTGATTACTTGTGCAGTTAGGCTACATGCATGTAAAGCATTAAAAGCAATGTCTCTAAGAGCCACTTCATTTTCTTTATATGCTCTGATATAGAAATCAATTTGTTCTTATTTTGATCAAGACAGCAGGGGTGATATATCTCTTGCATTTATCATCCTGGGGCAGCTGTATTAGAAGATAAACTGTCATTAAAATTGTCAGTGACATTTAAGGTTTGTTCACAGAAACCTTGAGTTTTTGTGTATAGATAGAGAGATAAATATATTATAATAAATATATAAAGAATAAATGTATAGAATAAAATGTTCAAAAA